ATGAGTTAATTTACTCCCATGACAAACTTTGGGTCATGATGAATAGTTTTGTCATTTACAGTATGCCTTTATGTCTCACCACTTTCAAGCCACAGCCTTTTGAAATGTGGAAATGAAAATGGAATTTTTTTTTGCTCAATAAACTCTGGCACCTAAAGGGTCAAAATGGAGATTCTGCCCCTGTCATATCTGCATGTAAGATTTAGACACACACACACATCATGTTTCTGTGAGTTTGTGTGTGACAGCGGTTGCCATGGTGATGAAGTAGGTGCACCTGGGAGAAGAGCAGAGAGAGACAGACAGAACACAGAGAGAGACCTGTTGTAGTGGAGATTTAACTCCTCGAACAAGTTCTTCCCATTCCCAAACCGTTGGTCCAATCATGAAAAAAATGTGATGATGAGAGAGATAAAGTTATACAGAAGATCTGTTTAGCAGCAGTTGAGCTGTCATGTGTGCGTCTTTAAAGCCGATACAATAAACGGTGTAGGAGGAGATGTGTTTTTTTAAGAGCACGTTTGAGGTGAAATCTTACTTTGAAAGGTCAAGTAGCTCACTTCCTGTTGGAATTAGGTCATGGGTGTCAACGCGTGATTTGTAAGTCAAACACACCAGTTTTGGTTTGATCTTGATACGACATTCCTACGGGCTGCAGTGGCCAGTTTAGTGCACCTATGTGGCGCTAGAGAGCCCATTTTGGCACTTTAGGGGTTAATAATGTGTGTGTTCTGTTTCAAATGAAGTTTCTGCTGCTGTAATCTGTCCTTTAAAGATTGTGAGACACACAGACCAGAGAACCCTGTGGCTGTGTCTGTGTGTGCAGCCGTTGTCATGGCGATTAATGACTTGCCCGCACCTGTGGCAGACACAGACACGTCAGGAGAGCAGATCACCAAAGGCTGTTTATAAAGGGATTTAACTCCTCGAACAAATGCTTCGCATACCCAAACCGTTGGTCCAAGCAAGAAAATAAAGTGATTTTGAGAGACAGCCACGTCTCGTGAACGCGCGTGTCGCGTTTTATATTTCTCGAGTCAAAAATGTGGTCAGGGGAGCGAGTTTAAAATGTGTTGCACCCCAGCTGTTTCCAGAAATTTCTCCTCTGAGTTTACATGGGAGTGAATGAGAAAAAAATCAGCGCTCCCTTCGCTTTGGAGCCACTCAGCAAAAATGTGTACGTGTGAGAGATTCCATGTCAACATATCTGTGAGCTGGACAAATTTTCCTACGTTTTGTGGTATAAATTGTGTCTGTACAGTGAAAATTGTGGCCATGGCAGCGAGTTAAAGACAAAAGTTTTAGACGATTTTTAGAGCCCTCTCCACTCTAGCTCACAGCATTCCGTGCAATACACACCCATTGTAAAGTGAGAATTTCTCCACTTTTGCTCATGGTACTTTGAGAGGCACAGATGAAAAACGGTAAAAGATATGAAAAAGATGAAAACATGAGTGAATAGATGAGACTTGTGGCAACATTTGAGAGTTGGAATGTAGTCTGTAACACAAAGTATGGAGACGCTGTAAATGCTAGAAAAAGCCCTAAGATTGGTCTCTTTCTCCCCCCTGCTGCCATTCATTTCCTATGGGACACCTTTCAAATCTTACTTTGAAAGGGCAAATAGCTCACTTCCGGTTGGATTTAGGTCAGGGGTGTCAGCGCGTGATTTTTAGGTCTTCATGAGACGAACACGCCACTTTTGGTTTCATGTTTCTACAACGTTCCTACAGGCCGTGGCGGCCATTTTTGTGTGCTTAGGTGGCGCTAGAGAGCCCATTTTGGCACTTTAGGGGTTAATGTCATGATTTTCTAAAATTTTTCACCGGTTCTGATGTGCATGCCAATTTTGGTGAGTTTTTGAGCATGTTTAGGGGGTCAAATTCCAGTTCAAAGAGGCGGCGGGAGAAAGAATAAAGAATAATAATAAACGGAGCAAAAACAATAGGGTCCTCGCCTTTGGCGAGGACTGCTCTGTTTCAGCCCCCAGCTTATGTCGTCACTGTGAATTATTTGGAAATATCAAACATGTTTCCACAAACATCAGAAAATCCTTACAGAGCTGAACGTTTTGATGTTTGAATGCTTTCTGTAGCTGTAGGTATGGATAAGTGATGTCACGATGTCAACATTTGTGCAAATCCTGTGATAACTTTTGGTCACAATGTAGTCAGGCTTACATACACCAAGTTTGGAGCCATTCTGATTAAATTTGTAGGACAAGTTCGTTAATTTACAAGCCCTGGAAATGGGCAAAAATGCACAAAAGTGGCACAAGTAAATTCAAAATGGTGGACTTCCTGTTGGGTTTGGAGCATGGCTCCAAGAGGCTTTTTTGTACGTGATAGAGTGTTATAGGTGCCCACCCAAGTTTCATACATGCAGGTCAAACCAGCTTTGGGGGCTGTTTAATTGAAATATTCTAGGGGGCGCTGTTGAGCCATCTTGGTACATCAAAGCACAAAAATCACATCAGACAACAGGACGTGCAACCTGTGATGTGAATGCCAGGTTTGGTGAGTTTTCAAGCATCCCTTGTCCCTTCAAAACAACATTGTGTTTAATGGCGAACAAGGCGGCGCCACGGTGACAGCGTTTGATGAAAACTGAAAAGCTTCATTTTTAAGCATCATCAAGGTCTAAGGACTTAGACCAGCAAGGTTGAGGTGGGTCTGATTAATCTGCTAGAAGCGGGACATCAAAGAATGTATAAAGTAATTTTCTGTTGCCAGTAGGTGGCGCTATGGCGGTGATTCAAAATTCCTCTGTAGATGTGTTCAGGGCTGGACTGTCATTATATGTGTGAAGTTTTGGCAAGATATTCCCACGTGGAGTCAAGTTACAGCAACGTTTATCATCACGGCGAAACATCAAAGTTCGCTGCCAGGCTGTGGCCACGCCCTTCGATGAAAACTCACAGTTTCCACAATAAAACGTCATCAACGTCTTATGACTTTTTTCACCAAGTTTGAAGTGGATCTGGTCAAGTCTGTAGGAGATGTACATTAAAGTCTAAAACATGACATTTCCTATTGCCAGTAGGGGGCGCTATGTTTATCTGTAATTATTGACATGTAGATGTGTTCAGGGCGGGACTGTCATCAATCCTGTGAAGTTTGGCCAAAATTGGACCATGTATGCTGGAGTTATGAACTACTTCCTGTTTAGTGGCGAGACCCCTAAGTTTGACGCCATCCCACAGTCACACGCATTGACGCAAACTCAAGCTTTTGATAACTTTTCATCCTCAACGTCTTGGGGTGGGACAGACCATGGTTTGAAGTCGATCGGATGAAATCTCTAGGACTAGTTCGTTCATTTAGGACCCCTGGAAATGGCCAAAAATGCATCAAAATTGCACAGTAAATTCAAAATGGACGACTTCCTGTTGGGTTTAGAGGAGGCCTCCAAGAGGCTTTTTTGTACCTCTGCCTGCCTTTGGCCGAGGTCCCTTATAATAAATGTCCCAGAAACAATAGGGACCTCTGCCTTCAGCGGATGTCCCTAAAAATATATTACCACATACAAAACCTATTCTTATCGGATGCTGCTGTAGGCCTCCGTATGCTGAATCCTTCAAAGATGTGAAGCATGATTGACAAAGTTGTGAAATTTACTTACTGGGAGACATTCCATATCAGTGTACATGATAATGTGTCATCACCACATTGCATAACATTTCTAAATTTATCAACTTTACTTTTTAAAAAAGTCATTAAAACGGTTGCCCATCCAGATTGTATGAATGAGAGAGATGTATTTGATTTCCTACCCGTTATTTTATTTAGTATTCAGGGTTTTTAAAACCTTCGCCAAACTTGGCCCATTATGAGAGCCAATCAGCCCTGCCCCATCCACAAACATATATGTTAATCAGTGACCCAAAAATGAGCGGTAAACTGGAGCTGGTAATTTCTGCTAATGATCATCGCTGTTAACAACTTACTTGCTATATTGGCTATATGCTTGTATGTCATTTCCAGTAATCATCTCAATATAAAACATGTTTTCTATTAATTAAGTACAAATGTAAGAAGACAGTAAGTACTCACTCATCTTTTCAGTGTTTTCATCTCAAGTATTATCTTGAGAGCACAGCTGATATCTTACGTGGTTTGTTTACATAAGCACACAGCTGATATGCACATCTGTAGCATCATGAAAACAAACCAGTGTACCTATTTAGTAGATTCAGAGTGGACAGAGAGAGGCTTGCTGTTAGGACACGGTGTTAGGCCTACATATTCTCAGAGGGAAATATTTCTACTGGACATTATGACCGAAGAGATTTAAATATTGGACTGTAACAGCCAGATAATGGAAAGCCTGAGCGCAGCAGCACTGATGATAAAGCTGCTTGCTGTGTGAGGGACGGAAAGACAGGGAGAGAGATGTGGAAGGTGAGTGATTGCACAATGTTTCTGTAGCCTATTAATAACTGACACAGAGCATTGTTTGGTCGCTTAATGACCCGCCTGCCCAGTGCGTGGGTATCTGTCCAGCATGTATTTACAACTTAAGTTGTTTGTACTTTTATTTTAAGTCTGTCCTGTATTTCAATGTGTAGGACCCCAGGGAGACCAGAGGCACATTCATGTGCCTTTAATAGGTATTCTTGAATAAACAATGGCCAAAATTTGGCCTGCAACAGACAATATAAGTCTTGTTTTTAGCCCAGCCAGTTGCGTGAAATGCCTTTTTGCCATGTGGTTTTGGTGACAACTTGCAGTGCCCACCAGCTGGTTAAGAGGTGTGAGAAGTCAGAGATCAGTGAAAGATTTTGTGAAAATATGTTTTAAAATATTTAATATAAGATTAGCTGCAGGCAGCCAGGCAGACTGACAGATACACACACACACACACACACACACACACACACACATAACCAAATGCATGATCCCCTCCAGACTTATGCCTGGCAGAGATAACAATGGGTTTAAGATATTTCACTTCCTGTTTCTATAACGTAACCCAGTACTATCCGATTGTGTGTTGTTCAGGGTTCATCTTGATCTCCAATCCATTCCTGCTGGGTTCCCAACCATTCTGGGTCAGACAATGTCTAAAATCCTACCCTCAGAAGCCCAATGTCTGCAACCTGGACATGCACATGTCTCCCTCTGAAACCCAGGACATCTGGGGCAAGAGTGTTCGTAGCCTCAGGTGAGACAGTTTTTACTCGATCTTTCTCCGAGCCAGTTAACTGTTGGTATTACTGTATTTAGTAGGTTTGGTTACTGAAACCCGTTCCTATACAATCAGTACTTACTGGACCGAATCACAATGCAGATTTCGGAGCCTCATTTCAGTGTCAGAAGTGTGTGGTCTTGGAGGGAGGGAGGAGGGAGTCTCTTTTAAGACATTTATAGTTGTATTCAGCTTTCTCTGTTTTTTTTTTTGTCTTTAAGATGCAAAGCATTTCTTGCGTCAGCCTTTTCAGTTAATTTCAATCTGATCCTCGGATCCGGTATCGGCACCAATCACGTTATTTTTACAAAATCGGAATTGTTAATAAAGATCGGTAGGAATGAAAACAACAAAAATGGTCAGGTTTTTCATCTATGTTGTTCATTGTTGCCTCTGCTTGCCAATGTATTGTAACCGAGCATCCTGGGTTTGCCTAACTGAGTGCAGCTAATGAGCAATAAACAGACAGGAGTCGAGGAACAATTTGTTTACAATTCAGGATTTGTTCACATTTTGTGCTGCTGAACCACCGATAAGCTTTATAAAAAGCAAACCTTATGGGACAACTTGGATGCATTTTTTTTTTCTTTCTTAATGCTTTACAAAGTATCGGATCGGACTCATATCGGACTTGGTTTCAAAATAAAGGACTCGGTATTGGATTGGATGCAAAAAAAAAATGTGATCGGGACATCCCTAATTTCAATCTTTGACAGTTAAGCTTCCAGTTTTTCCAGCAGTGTATATCAGCTGGTAGCTTTTTTAGATAATGCAGTTCAGCTTCCAATTCTGCCAGTTTTAGACTGTATGTTTTATCCCCTGGATACAGACACACAGCGGATTCTGATTCTTTCTACCTGTTTCTGATTGGTGCTTCTTTCTCTTTTTCCCTGTCTCTGTCTCTGCCGGTCTGTCTGTATCTCCCACTCTGTGTCTGTCTCTGACTGCTTTTTTAAATAGTGTGCTTTTTTTTGTAATAGCTGTATAGCTATTAGTAAAGCTAAGTAGTGAAGCAGTAGGTAACTTTTGTTTTGGTAAATATGACAAGAAGTTAGCATTTCTTCTCTCAGCCCTTTTAGATGGTTCATTTCACCTTCCAGCTTTTCTAGTAATGTCTTATTGCATTTAGCTTCTCTGGGAAATGGACCAACCAGGTAACAGGAGCTTACCGTAGTGGCTCTGATGTTGGTTGGATTTTCAAAAATAAAAGCCCCCAGATAGTAACAGGGGTTTACTGGGGACCTTGGACAAGGCAGGATTTTTTTTTTTTAAATAAAAGCATCCAGATATTAACAGTAGTTACCCAGAGGACATGATGTCCATGATTTCCTAAAACCATTTGAAATGTGGACTCATCAGACCACAGCACACTTTTCCACTTTTTTTCTAGTGATGTCACTTGAGTCAGAGACTGTTGGGTCTAAGGACTTACAATTAAGGAAAAGAAAAACAATTTGGGATGTGGAGCTACACTGGCCACTACAACCATAACACACTTGAATCTCTTGATTGAACTGTTGGCAGTTGAGTTGTACCTTGGGTACTGTAGACGCCAGATTTTAACAAGGGACAAGAATGCATCAGATAAAAGATGATAAATCATTTTTTAAATAATTTTTTTAACTGTCTATCATGAGTCTGATCATGTGATAGGAGTGCAATACTAAAATCGTGAAGTCCTTTAAGCATGTGTCTACATGTGTAGTGACAGTGTACTGATGGTCCTGGTTCCTATAAGCCTGCCTCTGTAAGTATCCTGTTTGATCCCATCCACAGTTATGCTTCCTCTGGAAAGAGAGAACCTAAGACTCCACTTGACAGGCTGCGCTGGGTCACTCTGGGATATCATTACAACTGGGATACCAAGGTAAGCACACATTATGCTTGTTAGGTAGGTGGATGTCGAGTTGTAAATGCAGAAATGAACACCAGTATTCTGGTCATAAATATACAATTTATCACTCTATTTGCATTACCTTCTATTCATATATTTCACATCTCAATTTTATTTAGTTTGTTTGTTTTTTTTACCCGCTGACCCTGAGGCCATGCACTGACATCACACTTTCAAGTGATACACCCATACTCAGTGGCAAAACCAACTGGGAAAGTTAAAGGCTATTGCAAGCACAGTCACTGCTCTATGGATGTTAAAATGGGGCCAGAAATCAAGACCCCGACACATCAATCAATTAATCAATCAATCAATAATTTTTTTTGTCACACAAAATCAAAAAGATACAGTTCCAGTGAAATGTAATCCTGTTCATTTAAAAAAAAAAAGAAAAAAAAAAGTGTACTAATGAATATAAGTGTATGCAGCGCCAAGATCAGGCCCTCGCTGATGTGGACTCCAAGGTACTTGAAGCTATCTTCCCTCTCCACCAAGAACTTGTTGATATTAAGCGGAATATAGTTTCCTCTCTGCTTCTTCCCAAAGTCCACTAGTATCTCCTTAGTTTTGCTGACGTTCAGGAGTACGTTGTAATCCTGACACTAGAGGGTCAGGTCCTCTACTCAATTCAGGTAGGTCTTTTCATTGTTATCTGTCATCAGGCCCACCACAGCTGTCATCCTGTTTTTTGTCCATTTACACTGTTTTTGGATGATGCTTTTATTTTGAAAGATTTGGCTAAAAGTCTCATTGTTTTTGCAAAGACTTCTTGTTGTCTTTGGACAAGTTTGTAAGAATCAGTCGAAATAATAAAATTGTGTTATTTAATGTTTCACAGTCACAGCAACATATCAACATTGCTTTACTTGTGCAACGCTACAATTGTTTTGCCTCTGCACCAGTGATAGCCGTGGCCGGAGGCATTATGTTTTGGGGTCAAAATTCACTGTGACCTTGCATCCGTTTCATTCTTGTGAATGCGATTTTTCAAAAACAATGTAGAGGAATTTCTTCAAATTTGGCACAAACATCCACTTGGACTCCCGAATAAAGTGATTTAAAATTTGGTGGTTGAAGGTCAAAGGTCAAGGTCACTGTGACCTCAAAAAACATGTTTTTGGCCATAACTCAAAAATTCATATGTCAGTTATGACAAAATTTCACACAAATGTCTAAAGGTCAAAGGTCAACTTCACTGTGACATCATAATGTTCTGCAAAAATACTGCAAAATATTACTCAGTGTCATATCTCAGGAACACATTAATTTTGGATGCCCACCTCAAAACTGTTGTGATTGTATAGATCATATGTGCTGTCGGGGGAAGATGTGTGTGAAGCATCCATGTATTCATAGATGTGGATGTAAACTGTAAGAGAAACTGACTGATGGGCAGAGGCATACAAAGGCAAAGTGGTAATTCTAGTTTCCTTTGTTGTTGTCATTTTCATTCACAGACTTACTCTGCCAACAATCACAGTCCTTTCCCATCTGATCTCCACTCGCTGTCCTGCCAAATAACAGCTGCCTGTGGGTTCCTGGGATTCAACGCAGAAGCTGGAATCCTTAACTACTACCGATCTGATTCATCTCTGGGAATCCACGTGGATGAATCAGAATTAGATCACAGCCGACCACTGCTGTCATTCAGGTGAGAGGGGAGAACAGTCTTCCACACTGCTGAGGAAGGAATTCCTCTACACAAGGGTTTTAGAATGCCAGTGCTGTCATTTTGTTTATTTTTTTGTTTTATTGTATCAGCAAGGACATTGCAATGTGGGGAAAAAAGTCCTCATTGCACTGTTAACTACATAAAAGTATTCCAACATCCTTACTGTATATCTTGTGTTATTTTCTGATAGTTTTGGACAGTCAGCCATCTTCCTCCTGGGAGGCACCCGCAGAAAGGACCCCGTCACTGCTATGTACATGCACAGTGGGGATGTGATGGTGATGTCAGGACAGAGCCGTCTCCTTTACCATGCTGTCCCACGCATTGTTCCTGCACCCAAGGGACATAGAGCTTTAGAGACAGAAGGCTGCAGCCTGGCTTCATCCCTACAGGACAGCACTGTGGTGGAGCCTGTGTCTGTGGAGGACTGGGCGGTGTGCTCCAGGTACATCCAGAGCTGCAGAGTGAATGTGACTGTCAGACAGGTGCTTGGGCCTGGACAGAGCTTCCCAGGAACATCCTCTTCTCACTCAAGAACTGATGCAGTCCACACAGTGGGGTACCACGACAGAGCAGCAGATGGAGAGAGCAGGAAGAGAAAGAGTAGTAGCAGCTGTGACTCTGTTGATACTACAGAGACATGACAGACCTCCTGCTGTTACACTTTCCTTGAGTCATTTGCATCTGATCCCAGAGTCTTCCTATGCAGAGATATTGTATAAATTGTTTTGCTAAAAAGCAGAAGCCACTTCACATGTGCTGTTAATATTTTGGCTGGAATTGGAGTTACCATTTGTCCATACGAACTGTTTAATTGGAACAGGAAGGTCAATGCACCCTCTATGGGACTTTATACATTGTCCTCCAACTTTTGGACAATGGTACTGAAAATAGTCAGTCAAATGTAGAGCGATGACTCAGTCAATCTAGGGATGCACCGATTTTGAAATTCTGGGCCAATACTGATGTTTAGATTAAGAATTTGGCTGATACTGATGCTGATGTTTTTATATTGTTGTTTATTTTGTTTTTGTTGTTATTTATCCCCCCTTGTATGCCAGGGAAACAAAGGAATCTAAAATTAAAAAAAATAACTGAACTATTTTAAAGTCATTAAGCCCTTCATTACAGTACCTTTGAACGAGCACAAATGTAATCAGATACCTTTAAAATAATCTTTTACATGAAAAACATCTTTTTTTTTAAAAAAAAACTGCTTCAAAACTATTTTTCCTATGCACAATATATCATACTCCCCTCTCCAATATCTGTTTGATATTGCCGTGAAAACACCAACAAATTTATCCTTCAAACAGCTGTATTTATTCAAGTTTACTGCCAAAAACTACATTTTACAAGATTACATTTAACATATGATGAGATCATTTACCATCGGCCAATACTCATTTTTACTGAAGAGAGCTTGAACGCATCATAGTGTAACTCAATGCAATCTCTGTCAGCCGTTAGTTGTGTCCACCGGCTGCTTAGTGGTAAGAATAACTAGCTCTCCTTCTTCCAATTTCAAAACAGATTTGTTGTTCGAAATGTAGCATCATCAGGGAAACAATAGGGTGCATTCCCTGATGTGACGATAGCCAGTTTACTGCGTCATTTCATCCTGATGGCGTCGTGGGGAAGATCTCTGTTAGTCACACATTTTCTGTTGTCCCTGGGATGATGGGACACCGACTGGTACTCGCCATCTCGTCACACAGGAGTGAGATCACAGAGCCCATTTGCCAAACAGTCATTGTATTCTTCTTGTACCTGCTCAACAGAAAAACATTGGTCACTGCCATCAATGAACATCATCTTCTTTGCCGATAGGCCAGTGGCAGTCAACAAGGCAAATAACGGCCAATACCGACATTCAGCCAATAAATCGATGCATCCCTTCTTAAATCCAGCTGATTCTGTTTCATTGCTGAGGACCAGACTGAATAAAAACAAAATAAATAATACATTTTATTTATAATGCCCATTTCATCAAAAGATCTCAAACAGACCCAGATGGCTGCTGTACAGGCCTGCCAGAGTGTCAACAGGAAGATACACAGTATCTTGATTACGAAGAATTTGTCACCAAATTTTATATAGTTATGAAATTTCTAACATTTGGACTATTTATGTTAATGCGTACATTTGCACTCAAATTAAAGCTGACAGTCAGAATCCAGAATTAGTGGGGCGGCATAGCTAAACTATCGTTCATTTTGTGATGAAAGCACCAAATTTGGTACACTCATTGCTGAATATATGTTGAATGAATCTGGATATTGGGGCATCACAAATTTTAATTCTGAGGACTGTGGCAGCCATTTTCAAAAATGGCTGCCAGTGGTTACTGGCATGGAATGCTTTGTCTATCCTATAGCTGCTGTTTCATGTTTTTAGTGCCACAAATATAATTTAGGGGCATATTAAAGTGGAAGAAGCTTTATTTAAATGTAATAGAACAGAACATGAGCTTTTTAAAACATTTTATTAGCTTCTCATTCGCAGTTTACGGCCTCCTCTTTGGCTTGTCTTCCTTTGTTGCTCCTTAAAAAGCAAAAAAATTAAAATATTTTAATCACTTGCCAGATGATATTGTTAGACTCATTATTTTCAGTACAGTGAATGTACAAAATAAATAGAACACCTACCTTGTACTTTGAGTTATGAGAAGATATGGTCAGCTCTCATATTCTCCCTCACAGAAGCACAGGCCTGTGCACCGAAGAGCATCCTTCTCGCACCTGCAGAGCTTTTTGCAACCACTCTTGCAACCACAAGAGATCAGCTCACGACAGGATTTTGATGCCTGTGGCAGTGTCGTCCAGTGGGGTTCAAACATTCCTTCATAATTTTACAATGTCTTACTCTCCCACACTCAGCTCTGCCACTGCTACATGTTCCAAGCTAACTACCTAGCTTAACTAGTTAGCTTTGCTAGCTTGTGAATTTACTTTTCCACTGAGGCCCATATTGTTTTTCTCTTTAGCCTTTACCTATGATGTTCAAAATGTGTACATCCTAAAAATAACATTTTATTACATAGTTATTACAGTTGAAATAATTCATTCAAATGAACACAATAAATTTGTGCTCTAGGGAAAGGATCAGCACTCAGTGAATAACCTCCTAAGCCCTATGATACGCTATTTTGGCAAGGCTTAACTATACAGACCAGTGAGCAGTGATAATAAACATGTATTTGGGGTCATCAGGTGGGAACCTCCTTTCATTAGTGTTTCGTCTAGTTGGTCCCACGACACCTCCAGGAGGCTAGACAGTGATCTCTGACATCTCAGAGACACTCCCCTAATGCCAGGTCTCACTGCTCCCTGCACCAACCCAACAACCTCCTTTACCTTACATTACACATGGCTTTCTCAGCCCAAACAGCACTGCCACCTTCAACCAAACCCAGGCTCTGTACATGCGAGCTCCAGGTAGAGACTGTGCTGATAGTACCTTTCCTAACACACCTTACTTACGCATGGCTTATTCAGCCCAAACAGCACTGCCACCTTCAACAAACCCAGGCTCCGTACATGCGAGCTCCAGGTAGAGACCGTGCTGACACTACCTTTCCTAGCACATTCACCATACTCTATTTCACATGCTACATAGCATAACACCAATATAAGCTTAAGTTGAAATAGATAAATAAACTCACATGATCAGCAAACACACTCACCTTGCAGCATGGTCTCAAACAAAAGGGATTCAAATAGGCCACTCCCACACTTAAATAACCTTCCTCTTCCTGGATTTTCTCCTGAGAGGACTGATTGGTGGATCTCTCCACCTCATCTCAAAGAGTTATGTACCCTGCTTAGTAGTTCCCCCTGCTGGCCCCCAACTGACATTATTTCTTCTGTTATAGATCCATTGGCTAGCTCTGGCTGCTTCATCTGACATTTCCTTCACTGTCTTCCTCAAACTCTGTCCCCGCACTCCGAGTTCCCCCAGGAGTGAGACACCTGATCTTGCTATGAATCCCCTACACCCCACTTCCACTGGCCAAATCCTAGTTTTCTATCCTCGCTGCTCAGCTTCTGCTCCTAAATCTGCATATCTAAGCATTTTTCTTTCATAGGCTTCTTCCACTGAGTCTTCCCAAGGAACTGTCAGCTCAATGAAATAAACTATCCGTTGACTCACTGACCACAACACTATGTCAGGCCTCTGCTTGGTACAAACTATTTCCTGGGGAACAACAAGCTTTCCCCCTAAATCTACTTGCATTTCCCAATCACAAGCACCTTCTAGGCGGCCACACCCTTGCCTCCTTACTAACTTATCCCTTCTGTATTTCTCTCCCTCACGGACAAACTGAGTTACTAAACTCCTATCCTTAATACCTTCTGAATTCACCTGTCTTCGTTTCCCTTCGATGCCTGCAGCTAAACTTTTCAACACCTGGTTATTTCGCCATGTATATTGTGACAAGCTAACTTTACAGCCTGACAAAATATGCTTTAAGGTTGCGGTACCTGAACACAGTGGGCATGATGGGTCCCCATTTACCCACAGTTTTAGGTTCTGGGGGGTTGGTAACACATCGTACGTAACCCCCTACCAGGAATCTAATACGATTCTCCTCCATATTCCACAGGTCCCTCCAATTAAGCTTCCTCTTCTCTACACTTTCCCAATTCAACCACTGTCCCTGCATAGCCTGGGCCACTACCTTTGCACCCCTTAATATCGCCTCCTGTCTACGTATCTGTTCCACGACTAGCTTTCTTCTGTCTTTGAGACCTGCTTTATTCCATACCGGTTTGCCTGAGCCAAGCCCCAGGCCTCCCCGGCCAAACTGAAAATTACCTACAATCTCTGCATGTCTAAGAGCTGCCTCTGCCTCCTGAACTGCCGATCTTGGGTTCCACTTCCTCCCCTTGGTTGGATTTGGAACCACACTCCTAACTACCACGTCCTTACTCCCAGATAACAAGAGCTCTGTCCTGACCTTGGTACATTTAAATTCCTCTGTTAAACTAGATACTGGCAGCTGAAGTATCCCTTTTCCATACAATGCAACACTACTTAGGCACCTAGGAGCGCCCAACCACTTCCTAATGTAGGAGCTAACCGACCTTTCCATTCTCTCCACAACAGATATTGGAATTTCATAAACTGACAATGGCCACATTAACCTAGGATATAGCCCAAATTGCAAACACCACAACTTCAACTTTCCTGGAAGTTCTGATTTATCTATTCTATCCAATCCTTCAGCCACATCTTTTCTAAATTTCACCACCTGTTCCTTATCATTCAACTCTACATTGTACCACCTACCTAAGCTCTTTACTGACTTTTCCCTAATTGTTGGGATTTCCTCATCATCTATGACAAACTTCCTATCACTTAACTTCCCTCTATGTAATAAAATGTTTACCTTGATGGACAGTCCACTGCACTGCTTGTTGCAGGAAGCAACTGCCGCTGGATGGCAGTTGGCTGGCAGTTGGTTAGCTGGCTTGTAGTGGTGGTGGCATAGAAAGTGTTTGAGACACTGTGAGTGTGTCTAACTGTATTTTTTGGTCGGTCGGTCCACAAAGCTTTTCTTGAATAATTCAAAAAATACTTGACCAAAAATGTTAGAAATTTGCATAATGCAAGTAGAGACCATGAGTAACTATGCAAGAAAAAATGAAAAGGATTCATTCATAGGTGGCACTATACTAAGCATTTCAAAATGAAAATTTTGCTTTTCTTGAGGTTGTGTGTATGCATGTTGTGTGGATGCATACATGTATGAGGTCGCAGCTATTGCGAATTTGCACGTTCTTAATTTGATGTGAACTGTGAGTGTGTCTAACTGTATTTTTCTTAATTTAATACATATTTACATTTTTAAAATCTTTTGATTTTGATTAAATATTTTGATTAATTTTATTGAATAAATGGTTGCTACGGCAACTAGGGTGCGTTTTTGCGATGCCCTAATATCCAGATTTGTTTCAAATACATCCACCAACACATGTACCAAATTTTTTGCTTTCATCACAAAATAAACGGTTGTGATATATTGACCTAAGCCACCCCACTAAATGTGCTGCTGTTACTGAGAAATCTGGTTTCTTTGCAAATGTTTGTTTTGCA